CAAGGAGATGCAGCCATCTTGAAACTGTGACAGGGGAAACCGAGGTCAGATCAGTGCGGCGAAGTCGCTGGTGCAGAGAGCAGGAAAGAGCCCGGGTGGGGGATGCTGGGGAGAGCTGGGACTTCATCAGCCCCAGGAATGCTGGGGCCATGGCTGGCTTGTTATGGGAGCTAATACATGTCCATATTGTTCAAGCTCCTTAAACTGGGTTTTCTGTTACCTGCAGATGGACACCTCCTCGCTGCCACTCCCCACACACTTAGGACCCCCATGCTCACCACCAGGGCCCGCACTGCTTCGCTCACAGCCCCCTTCTCTTCCTCCAGGCCCCGGATCTGTTCCCGCAGCTGCCTCAGCTCCTGCCATGTCGAGATCTGGCGGGGGGACACAGGAGAGAAAGATGTGAAGCTGCCACCACTCCTGTCTTCTCATTGGAGCCTCACCCACTGGCCACTTAGACCTCGGGCCGGGTGAGGTAGTGACCCCTTGCTGCCCCCCGTGGCCATTCTCCCCCCCTTCCCTTCAGTACTAGAACTCCCTGAAGTTTAGCTGGGCACACTGCTGCCCAGAGTTAAGACACATTTCCCACCCTCCCTTGCAGCTACCTGTGCTCATGTGACCAAGACTGACCAATGGACAGGACTGGAGGTGGTTAAGCGTGACTGTAACTCTTGGGTCACCTCCAAAAAGATAAGCCCCCATCTTGGACTTTCTCACTCCCCTTGGCCTGGACATTGGACCCTGAGGAGAGCTGAAGCCTATAGAAGTGTGTTCCAAGGGTTGGACTATGATCCATTGGTGAGTGCTGTGGACTGTGTTCCCCCAAATTCGTATGTGGAAATCTTCACCTTGCACAAGGTGATGGTTATTAGGAGGCAAAGCCTTTGGGAGATAATTAGGTCATGAGGGTGGGGCCCCCATGAATGGGATTAGTGTCCTTGTAAAAGAGACCCCAGAGAGCTCCCTCCCCCTTCCACCATGTGAGGACATAGCGAGAAGATGGACTAGGAACTAGAAAGCCAGTCCCACACCAGAAGCCAAATCTACCAGCACCTTGATCTTGGACTTCCAGTCCCCAGAACCGTGAGAAATAAATTTCTGTTGCTTATAAGCCACCTAGTCTATGATATTCTGTTGTAGCAGCCTGAGTAGACTAAGGCAGTGGGTTATAAATTAATTTAGAATCTCTAAAGTAGCACTTTAACAAACTGTGGTTGGAGCACAGAGGGAAATGGCATATAGCCTAGCAAGTTCCTAGAACACAGTAAGTACCCAGAGAGTATTATGAAACACGCACATAGTGGATGCCTAGGACACAGGAGAAAACCGTGGCATATATTAGGACCTTAGCACTCAGTAGACAACACTCAGTAGCGGATAAATGGGTGCCACGCACAAGACTTTGGCTTCACATAGGAAGGAACTAAAATTCCTGCAATAAGTTCGCCCTCCGCTGGAGCGCATTTTGCAAATGCAGTTCTCCCATAAATCAAGCAGCCGGCTTCCCGCCCGACCCGCGCAAGCGCACTCACGATCGCGGGCAGGTCGGCCGGCCGCAGCTCCCCCTTGCGGAGCTCCAGGGCGCGCGCGGCCTCTTCTGGGCATGCGCACAGCTGCTCCATGTTCAGCTGAGGCAGTGCGCTGTAGCCCTCGCGCGCGTGCTCGTACAGGAGGTTCCGGCCTCGTCTCTCTGTGGCGAAACTTCTCCGGGGGCTCTGGTTGCAGACGCAGCCTCCCCGGGGCCGGAGGCCCCGACGAGCCAGCCAAGGCCACAAGCGCCGCGCCATGGACGCAGCCATCTTGGACCGGGGACAAGAAAGCTCGCGCCTTTCGTCCCGCCCACTTCGCGTTTAGACCAATCGCAAAGCAGCCGTCCCCTGGAAGAGGTATGCCCTTCCTGGGCTCGAAAACAGCTCAGTGAGAAAAGTTGACCGAGATAGACTCTGTCGTTGCCCAATCGTCGTCCGTGTCCCGCCCCTTCAGTGACGTAAAGGCGGAACCAGCCAATTCCTGCTCGGATAATCCCCGGAAGGGGATACAGGCAGGATTTGGCGTGCCTGCGAGTTGACCGCTACGGTCAGTGAGGTCTGTGGGATGCTTGGGTCCTCCAACCTTCCCTGGCTCTCTGCCTGGTTTCCTCTTTTCTCCCGTATGCGGGCGAGGGTAGTTGGGTCCCCGGGAGCCTGCTCAGAGCGAGGCTACATTTACAGAGGGATTTTCTGTGAGCAGCATGAGGAGTTGTGTTTAGACCCCTAGAGGAACTTCCTTGATTTAACCCAGAAGAACCTGAGAGAGGGACGGGGAGAATTTGGATCCTCATTTGACTACGGCCACTTTTTTCTCCTCCTTTCTGAATCTCTTATCCCCTAACATAGGGACGACGCTCCAGGAGGCGGGATGTCCTGGTCTGGCCTTCTCCGTGGCCTCAACACGACCCTTAGTTGTGGTAAGTGGGGGACCTGGGCTTCAGGGACGAGGCTGGTTGAGGGTTATCCCTTCTGGGACTTGTCTGCCTCTGCCGAAGCTGCGAGGGAATCGGGGGTTTTAAATCCGGCGGATGCACAGTGGGTTTTTGGCAGAAGTCGAGCTGCAAGAGCACGGGGTGGGAAGTAGCCGCATCGAGGGCTGTTGTGCCTCAAGCAGAGTTTGGGTCAATGATTTATTTCCTTAGCAAGTGCTTATTAAATAACTCCCGTGGATGGGACGTCCGAGCAAGGCGTTCTCGTCATTCATTTAGCGGATATTTTTCAGGAGCCGCCTATGTGTCAGGCATCGAAGGGGAGCTTTAGTTATGCTCTTACTCTTTTCAGACATTGGATTCTCCTCACGGGCCATGCCCTGTATGAGGTATTTCATTCACTTTTTCACTCTGCAAACCTTTAGTAAGCACCTTCTGTTTGCCAGTCACCGAGGATCGCAAGAGTGGGCAAGGCAGGAGTCAGGACTAGCTTGCCGTGCAGTATTTCATGGTAGCCTCACAGGTGGCGCTCAAAAGGGAGATAGGAGCATGGTGCCTCGGATGCAGAAGAGGAAACTGAGGTACTGAGAGGCCAAGAGTTAAGTTCAAGGGCACACCAGTAGGCAGAGACAGATTTCTAGAAATGTCTCACCCCCTTTGAGGATTCGGCTGTAACTCTAGGGGAAAAGAGACGTGGGAACAGACAACAGGGCAGGGTCTCCCCTGGATGTGGAGGGGAGTGTGAAGTTGGGGTGCTGAAAGGTCATCTGTGCTAGTGACAGAGAGAAGTAGGAGATAGATGCGTGGGTGACACCGTAAGCTCAAAGCCCAAGAGCTTGGGCAGGACCCAGGGCTGCCTTGGTCACTGCTTTGTCTCCATTACTGGGGCCAAGACACAATAGGGCTCAATGGCTGTCACAGAGAATCTTCTCACACCCTACATCCACTCCACGAACGAATCCTGTTGGTCTGCCTTGAAGATATATCTCCCTCCCCCATGCCCCCAACCCACCTTTCCTCTTACCACACTGCAGCCACACTGGTCTTCTTTCTGTTGGTGTTTTGGGGCCACAGGCTGGAGCAGGGTGAGCAAGCGGGTGAGTGGGGAGCTGAGGTCAGGGAAGTAACGGGG